CACCCAGGGATCCCAACTATCCTCTTTTCAAAGCAGCATGGTTGGGGTGCCTGACAGGTTCAGTCATTAAAGCATACTCTTAAAAAAATAAATAAACAAATAAAAAAAATAAAAATAAAAAATAGAGCATACTCTTGATCCAGGATACTCAGTTCAAACCCCACGGTGGACGGAGAGCTTAAATAAAGTAGCACAGTCAAGGCTGAGTGACTCCTAGATAGACCACCACCACCATTATTCAGCACCCAGCTATAGGGTACCATTAGTTCCCCATCCCATGTTGTGTTCATCTGTAAATGGGTAAATACCAGGTATCATACTCAGACATAAAAGCTCACAGAGACCATTCTGTTTTCTCATTTAGACCCTACAAATACAAATTAAGGGAAAGTCTACGCAATTAGGACTCTTCATCCTACCAACATTTTGATACTTTTAAGTGCTGATTATTACTGTGTGCCAGGTACTGTAAGCCATCCCCCACCCCGCCCCGCGTTGACAACAACCCTTTGATACAACTACTATTATCTTTGTTACACAGATCAAGAAACTCAGGTAAAGATCAGAACATCTAGAAGCAGCACGAGTCAGGATTATAGCCCAGATACTTGGCACAAAAACCCAAGTTTTTAATTTCTATACCACTGTATTGCTAGACTATAACTTGTCATCAGACTGCCTTGATCATTAAGTGTTCCCAAATTATCAATGAAAGACCTATAAAATGATACATCTCCATAGTCAACCACAAAGGAAATCCAGAATCCAGACAGGAAAGAGATTAGCTGTGTCAGGATCCCACGAGGTAAATAAAACAGTGGAGTCAGTCGCAATACAATTATCCAGTACAAAGTTGTTTTTTGTTTTAAAAAGGTACATTAAGTAGCCCTGCTATAAAAAAAGCTCAACTCAACCCTCAAGTAGAGTCTATCTAACAGTACACCCAAATTCTAAGTCTTGGTGTATACTCTACCATAACCTGATTCCTTAATCCAGCAGGAAGCTCACAATGATACTGCTCCCTGCCCCAAGCCCCTTGATTTGGAGAGTTAATCCATAACTGAAAGAGATGGACAAATGAGATGAAAAGAAAAACGTATTGATACCTTTGTGCAAATCAGTTATTCTGATACGGTAACAGGTTTTGTAATGACTAAACTATTTTTAATATTTAGGAGAGTAAAAAATAATTACAATAAATTTAAAATATACTTACAAGTATTAACTTTAGAAAGATTACACTTAGATTTGACAAAGTTTGCAATCTTGAGGTAGCTGAAATAATCATGTATTTGTAGTACAGTGTGGTGCTCACTTCAGCAGCACATATACTAAAATACTATGGTGTAGAAATGCTCAAGGAAATTTAAGACAATTAACTTGGTGTTAAATACCTTAAAATTAAATTCTCAGGATGCCTGGGTGGCTCAGCAGTTTGGCGCCTGCGTTTGGCCCAGGGTGTGATCCTGGGATCCTGGGATCCAGGGATCCAGTCCTGCATCGGGCTCCCTACATGAGGCCTACTTCTCCCCCTGCCTGTGTCTCTGCCTCTGTGTGTGTGTGTGTGTGTCTCTCATAAATAAATAAAATATTTTTAAAAAATTTCAAAAAAGAATAAATTTTCATTACAAATTAAACACTAATAAAAATGAAATTTACTTGTTTCTAGATATATTACTGAATTTATAAGATTTATAACTGAACTTAAAGATTTAAGAAAAATGACTACTTACAACTCGAACCGTATTTCAATACAAACAACTTTTAAGCCTTTTCCTTAAAGGCCTAATAAACATTTTTTTTAAGATTTATTTATTTATTTATGATAGACAGAGAGAGAGAGAGAGACACAGGAGGAGGGAGAAGCAGGTTCCATGCCGGGAGCCTGACGTGGGACTCGATCCTGGGACTCCGGGATCGCACCCTGGGCCAAAGGCAGGCAGGCTCTAAACCGCTGAGCCACCCAGAGATTCCCCTAATAAACATTATTTAAAGAAAAAGCATAATGACACTAAATCCTGTAACAACAAACTCCAATGTAAGGATTTCCTGATTTACTGGTTCAGAAAGACCGTGGCCTACAAAATTGCGTGTTACTCAATTACTGAGTGAACTCAATCACATTTGCCTTAAACATGTCCTTCCTTTAAAAGTGAGGTCCTTCCTCACTCCCCATGAACACCCTAATTACATTTTACAAATTCACAGGTCCAACTACTAATGCACGGTTAGGTCTTAAGAGATAAGTAGTCCCAATTCTTTTAAGAAGTATCAAAAATACTCTTACTTCCAAAGTACACGCTGGAATGACAACAGGGTCCCAAGTCTAAGATAAACTCTAACTTTGTGAGCAGTGAGACTGGAATCACCTGAAAGGTTTCAAAAAATAGCAATGTCCAATCCTAACACTAAAATTCTGATTTAACTGGTGTGGGTTATGGCCTAGGCATCCAGATTTTATAAAGCTCCCCAGATGGCTCTGATCCAAAAAATGAGGACTACTGAGAAAAAGGAGTAAATTAAACACCACAAGGAAACAGCATAAGGAAACTATCAGATAAAACCCAAATGTGAAACACCCTACAGGCTGACCAACTCAAGCGTCTTTAGGAAATCAACGGTACAGGAGAAAAAACTATAGAAGATTAAAAAAAAAAAAAAAAAGGAAAATAAATTCAGTACAACACATGGATGGTGCCTAAAGCCTAATTCAAACTAAATATAAAAAGAAATCCAAGGAACAAGATGAAAATCTGAGAATGGACTATATATACAAGTAAATCTACATATACATCAAAGGATATTATTCTTTGGATTTTAAATGTGACCCTGGCACTGTGGTGGCCCAAGAAATAGCTCCATCTTTTCGAGATGCACTTTGCAGAATTTAGAGGAAATGTAGTGTCTAGGATTTACTTTAAAATACTTCAGCATATTAACCAATAATAAAGGAATGTCTGGAATTTGCTTTAAAACAATACAGCTTAGGGGAGAGAGCTAACAAATGCAACATTCTTTGCTAATCACTGAGGCTGATAAGGAGTACCTAGTGAATAGCTCATGACTACTCTATCTTTCTAGGTTTGAAGATTTCCACTGGTAATTTATAAAAAAAAAAAAAAAATACTTCAAATAGAAGCCAAAGTAAAGCTAGCAAATTGGCAACAGGCTTCATTACAGTATTGTCATTTGTGTATATCTGAAATACTTAATAAACAGAAAAGCAGATCAGGTTTGGAGAACTAGAAGCTACCAGCATACTCTGACAAAAGAGTAACTGTATACAAAAAGCTCATCCTCTAACACTCCCTGCTAGGAGAGAGTGCAGGTGGGAGAGGGCAAAGGACAAAGAGGATACCCACCAGACCCAATGAGCCAGGTGATGACCAAGGACCTCGCTCACAGCCACATCACAGGAATGTATCACAGAGATTTGGGGTAATCGTAAACAGATTCTTAAATAAGGTTTTAGCAACCCTAACGGAAAAGCCAAAAATGTAACGTTCAAAGTTTTCCAGTAATTATAGCATCTCAAAATTTGCACAATTTTCTCTTCCACAGCACAACTGCATTGTCAATAATGCTCTTCTGCTTCCCCGAGAACACTATTTTCTCTCACCGACAGCAGCAGTAAATAAAGCAAGCAGTCCTTCAAACATTCCCTAGACTCAAATATCAAAATAAATCCAACTCTGCCGTGATGCGGGATTTCTAGAACTCACTTTCTCGGAAATACTATTCAGTTTAAGTGTCTGCTTCCAAAGACTCTACATCAGTAAACACTAAATTTGACTAAAACAGCATCCTCTAACCCTCCCCGGATTCTGTCAATAATACCTAACTGTTCACATGCAGATGAACAAATCCCCTTTGTTTCCTTTCCGTCCTTTTAATTCAAGAGCGGTGATCCTATCCTTCTACCAAATTCTGTTACAGGTATTAGAACTGTGGTAAAAGATCACCGAGTTTTTGTTTCGTTGCGTCCTCGGTTGTCTTGCTCTACGAGATGCTGATACAGCCCGGCAAAACCAAAATCCTTCCTCCTGGAACACAAACTGGCAAAAAAAAAAAAAAACAAAAAAAAAAACAAAAAAAAAAAAAAACAGTTCCCTAAAAGAATGTCTGACATCATAGGACAAAGCAGTGGATGAAACCGAATGGTGCACGGAAAGCGACTCAGAAAGCTGACAAAGTGCCACGAAGAGAGACCTGCCATCTACGCCGACGAAGCTCTAAGGTGAGACACACCGCATGGTTGGGGCCTGGGTTACCCTACGGACAAGCAAGGTCAACACAATGACCCATCACGCTAAGTTTTGTAAGGCATTCCACAAGTGTGGTGCAGCTTTGAGAGGCAAAAGTCCTGGAGGAGCGAGCGGCACGGGGTCGCGGCAGCAAGGTTTCTAGGACGCTGCTCAGGAGATAGAAAAAAGACGCTCATCACGCTCACGTATTTCTCCACCTTTTCAGACACCAGCGATTCTATTCCTAGGGAACAAGTGGTTAGAGGGGCGGGGCGGGGCGAGGCAGAGAGGACCAACCAGAGGTCGAGTTACAAGTCGGGCACGACAACAGTAGGATGAGAGCGGCTCGCTGAGTGGCTGGCGCGCCGCGCCCCCCCCCGCCCGCGCGCACGCGCGCACGCGCGCTGCCGGCTCTCACCATAGGCAGCCGCACCTGGGAACCCGCCCCACCGCAAACCGCGGCGCAGGGTCGCCCCCGCCCCGCCCCCCGCGCCCCTGCCCCTGCCCCTGCCCCTGCCCCTGCCCAGGGCCTTTTCCTCCCAAAACAAACCCGGCCGCCCCAAAACAAAGCAGACCCCAACGCGGACGTCCTGCTGTCCCCAGAACGCAACCCCCCACCCTTCCCACCCCCCCGTCCCCCGCCCCGAGCACCGGTCGGTCACTACGCCCCGCGAGCCGGAGCCCCGATAAGGGGGCGGGGGAGCGGGGAGAGCGGGGGCGCGGGGGCGCGGAGACGCCAAATGTCAAACATCTCACCAATTCCTCGTAGCTCCTGTTGTGCTCGTTGCCCTCCCAGTCCAACCTCTTCGGCAGCAACTGCAAAGGCACGGGACGCACACGAGTGACCACCGCGCGGGGCCGGGCGGGGGGCGGGGGGCGGGGGGCGCGGGGTGGGGGCGGGGGGCGCGCGGGGTGGGGGGGCTGGGCGAGCGGCCCCGGCAGGCTGGGGAGGAGGGGGCACGGCGGGCGCCGCGAAGCACAGACCTGGTACTGCTCCAGCTCCTGCACCAGCACCTGCAGCCGACGAGACGCGCAGTTAGGGGGGCGGGGGGCACCCGGGTCCCCCCCCCCCGGCGGCGCCCTGCACCCCGCGACCCCCGGCGGCGGCGGCGGCGGCGGCGGCGGCGGGGCCGGGCCCTGGACGCCGCCCCGGGGCCCGCACGGCCCGCACTCACCTGGGCGGCTCTGCGACACGGGCCGGCCGAGAGGTACCGGGCGATGAGGAAGTAGAGCTCTGCGGGGAGACGGGGGTCGGGTCAGGAGCGGGCGCGGCGGCGGGGAGGGCGCGCGGCGGGGCCGGGCCGGGCCGGGGGCGCCGCGGGGAGGGCGCGGGCGGCGCGGCTTACCCGACTCGATGAGGGGCACCGGGCGTCGGGCGGGCGGGGGCTCCGCCATGGCGGGGCGCGGGGGCGCGGGGGGCGCGGGCGGGAGCGGGCGAGCGGAGCGTGTAGGCCGCGCCGGGGCCTGAGCGGGCCGGCGTCCCTCTACCCGTGGCGCGCCGCCGCCGCCGCCATGCCGTGCGCGCCGCCACGCCGCCGCCTCCGCCAAGTAGTCCCTCCGCGGCTCCGAAAGTAGTCCCCGCGCGGCGGCCGCCCGGCGCCCCCGGAGCCCCCGCGGCGGGGCCGCGCGTCCCCCGAGCCCGGGTCAGGGGCGGCGCGGCGGGGCGGGGGGGCGCGGGGCGCGGGGCGAGGCCCGGGCCGGCGGCGGGGGGGGCGGGGGGCGCGCGTGGCCGGGATCCCTGCGCGCGGTGAGGCGGCTCCGGCCATTGTGCGGCGGCGGCGGCGGCGGCGGCGGCGGAGGGCGCGCGGGGGCGGGGGCGGGGGCGGCCTGGGGCGCGCGGGGGCGGGGGCGGGGGCGGGGGCGGCCGGGACGCCCCAACACACACGCGCACGCACCCCGGGTTCGGAGCCCGGCGCGGGGAGCCCGGGACGCGCGGCCGGCGCGGCGGGGTCGCCCCCCGCTCGGAGGAGCAGCTCGTCGGCCCCCCGCGGACACTCGGGTCCCCCCGCGCCCCCCAGGGCAGGGCCGACGTCCGCCGCCCCGAAGGACGGAGCAGGCACACCGCGCCGCAGCCCCCGCCGGAGCCCCGCCGTGCAGCAGCCAGAAGGGGACCGGGAGGATGCAACGCAGCCTGGAAGCGGCGACGGCGTAGCCGGATCGGGAAACGGGGGTCGGGGGGTGGGGGGTGGGGGGTGGGGGGGCGAGCGGGCACCTCCTGCGGGCAGGCGGGCAGCCGGGCAGCCGTTCCCGGGAGGACAGGCTGCACACCTGGGGGAGCCCGAAAGGGGGCGCCCCGCGCTGGAGCGCTCCGAGCGGCGGGCGAGGATCTCTGGCCCCTCCCGATGGGCTGTGCTGGGCCGCTGACCCCCTGCACGTGCAGGGGCATCCCACTCTGAGCCTGAAAGAGCAGCCGTGAGCGGAGCAAAGCCCCCCCCCCCCCCCAGTCCTTCCAGCTCCTGCTCCGGGGATCGCCCCCGCTGCAGGTGGAGCTCAAACGTGGTGCTTCGGGGCAGGCTCAGGTGGGGCCGACCCTGGGTCCTGTGGTGCCGGGCCTGAGCCCAAACGTCCCCTCACCTGTAAACCGTAGACGCCTGTGTGTGTCTGTTTTCTTTCCCTTTTTTTTTTTTTTTAATTTTGTGTGTGTGTGTGTGTGTGTGTGCCTGCTTTCTTTTTCTTTTTTTTTTTTTTTTTTGTGTGTGTGTGTGTGTGTGCCTGCTTTCCTAGCGTTGTGAGCATTTACAGCCCCGTGGGTTAATGCGTGCCCAGCGTATAGTGATAAGCACTGCGCCCCGTGCCAGTTTTTATGATTATCTACACCAGATAGCAAAGGTTCTTCTGTGTGTCTGTGAATGAACAACCCGAACGTGTTCAGACAGGTGCATCAGTAATGTATTCTTACATCTGTTAATTCAGCGCATTATCAAGTGAGACCCAAGAAAAAAGAAAACCACACACACAAAGAACAAGCCACATCCTTGCCATCAAGGACTTCAGTGTCTTTTGGGAGAAACAGATGTAAGCAGATCGTGACAAAATTTAGGGCAGAAAGGACATCAACCTGCCTGTGGGAGGGGGAGTTAAGAGAGTTGAGAGCCTCCCCAGCTTCTGTGTGGAACGGGATTCCGGGCATCTGAACAACCAGAGCCAAGACATGAGTAACACTGCAAGTTTAAGGAACTCAAGTTTCGTATGACTGCTTAAGGTGACTTTGAAGGTGTGGAGGAGACCCATGAAGTCAGGAGTTAAAATTGAGAAGGAAAAAAAAAAAAAACTGAGAGGTCCTATAAGCCCAGAAGAGTCTTGTTTTAATTTTAGGATTGATTTGAGAGTACTAGGACCAGGAGGCAGGAAAACCACTTAGATGACCCTTTAAATAGGAAATAAATGAAGATGCATTAAGGCAGTGGACATAAGGACAAAGAGGCAGAGACAGGATCAGAAATAGTTGGGAGGGGGATGCCTGGGTGGCTCAGCAGTTGAGCATCTGCCTTGGGCCCAGGGCATGATCCTGGGGTCCTAGGATCGAGTACACATTGGGTTCCCCACAGGGAGCCTGCTACTTCTGCCTATGTCTCTGCCTCTGTGTCTCATAAATAAATAAAATCCTTAAAAAAATAAAAAAATAGTTGGAGGTTAGGTCAGCACAATGAGGTTGAAGTGGGATGAGAAGAGTCAAAAAAGTCAAGCGTGGGGCTGAGTGTGTCAAGGTTGTGCCACCAACTAAGGACATACAGGCTGTAACTCCTTTGTTAAAATGAGTAACTACTTGGCACAACTTGATTATTTGAAGTTACAGTGCGTGTATTCCTGTGGGACAGTATGATCTATGCTACAAGATTACTCGAGTTAGTAAGTGATAAAGACATAAAGAAAGGGGTGGGGCAGCCCCGGTGGCTCAGCGGTTTAGCGCTGCCTTTAGCCCAGGGTGTGGTCCTGGAGACCTGGGATCGAGTCCCACATTGGGCTCCCTGCATGCAGCCTGCTTCTCCCTCTACCTGTGGCGCTCTCTCTCTCTCTCATAAATAAATCTTTAAAAAAAAAAAAAAAGGCACCAGGGCAGCTCAGTCAGTGTCTGCCTTCAGCTCAGCTGGTTATCTCAAGTTCCTGGGATCAAGCCCTGCATCAGCAGAGAGTGTGCTTCTCCCTCTCCCTCTCCCTCTGCCCTTCCCCACCACTCATGCTCTCTCACTAACTCAAATAAAATCTTTAAAAAAAAAAAAAAAAAAAAGACATGAAAGGAAGACTAACATTCTCAAAGACAGACCCAAGAGTTGCATACTTCACTTTGGAGGTTTTTTTGGTTGGTTGGTTTTGGTTTCGTTTTTGAAAGATTTTCTCTTTAAGCAATCTCTGCACCCAATGTGGGCAGACAACCCCCAGGACTCAGAAGCCCGGGATCAAGAGCCCCACGATCCACTGACTGAGCCTGTCAGGTGCCCGGCATATTTTACTTTGTTACAACGTCATAAAAGTAAAAGCCCCCAAAACATAAGAATTCATCTCTCAAGTACTGGTCATCGTCCAAGACTACAATTCCCCTGTGAGCAAAGCAGCCTGGTAACCATCATGAGGCATCAGGGTTGAGGACAGTTTTCCTTTGCAAAAGCCCTGCTAATTGGGCAGCCCTGGTGGCGCAGCGGGTTACTGCTGCCTGCAGCCTGGGGTGTGATCCTGGAGACCTGGGATCGAGTCCCATGTCAGGCTCCCTGCATGGAGCCTGCTTCTCCCTCTGCCTGTGTCTCTGCCTCTCTCTCTCTCTCTCTCTCTCTCTCTGTGTGTGTGTGTGTGTGTCTCATGAATAAATAAATAAAATCTTTAAAAAATTAAAAAAAAAAAGCCCTGCTAATTAATCCCTTTGCAACCTCCTCTGATGTCCCTGACAAGTACTGCTTGTGGATTTGAAAGAGACACAAAGATTCTGACAAGAGGTGGAATATCTTCCCCATTCAACTCTCAAGTGACAGAGACCCAGATTTGATCCCACTTCTGCCACCTGGAAAAGAGAATATACTCTCCATCAGCAGGTCCACAGTGGAAGACCTGCCAGGAGTCTCCAAGCAAAGCATAAATCATGTATACGTTCACCCCATGCTGAACCCAAACCATTCCAAATGCAAACACTAAGATTTGCTCTTGGGTAATTGGAAATAACTCGAGTCGCACCATGGGAAAGCTATATGGAAAGCTAAATTCTAGAAAAGTTGCTAGATAAGCAAAGGCCAGAAGATCTTAATGGCTGATGACGTCATCTGTAATGTTGTCACCTATTTCCAGTACGAGAGAACTAGGATGTGTTAGTCCTTGGCAGGCAACCCCCCTCCTGGATAAGCATCACTGATCTTAGATGCCATTAATATACTCACTTCCTGGGCGGACCAGATGGTTCAGTGCTTTAGCACCGCCTTCAGCCCGGGGTGTGATACTGGAGTCCTGGGATGGAGTCCCACATCAGGCTTCCTGCATGGAGCCTGCTTCTCCCTCTGCCTGTGTCTCTGCCTCCGTGTCTCTCTCTCTCTCTCTCTCTCTCTCTCTCTCTCTCTCTCTCTCTCTCTCTCTCTCATAAATAAATAAATAAAAATCTTTAAAATACATATATACTCACTTCCCAGCTGAGGGAGACAGAAGGGCCTGAGGACCCATAGCCAAGGCTGCAAGCCCACCTGGGACCCAGCTACCTTAGACCCAACCCAGAACTCTTTCTCCCCTTGCCACATTTCACAAAGGAGGAATCAGAGCCTGAAGAGGAGGGGACTCACACAACACCACACAGAGGGTGCGGGAGAGCGGAGATTGGAAATGCACGACTATGTGCACCATCTCCTTTATCACAGGCAACTCTGTGTTGAACTCTGTTGTCCTCATTTTAAGCAGGAGGAAACAGGTTTAGAAAGTTTCCAGAACTTGCCTATGGATGTAAACTCTTAAAAAAGGGGAAAAAATAATAATCCACTGGACCTTCCCAGTTACCACTTAGGAGCCCCCCAAAGCATTAAGTGTGAAAAGCACAGCTGGAAAATGGGGAGCAAACTAGACTTAGGGGCAAGCTTGAAAGAGTGAAACCGTGAGACGTGTGAGCCCTAGACACTGCAAAGAAAACTGTATACATAATTCTAGTCCTAGTCTCAGTGCGTTGGTGCAAATATACCTTGACTGAATTTCCTTTCAGCCAGCAGGCACTGTTAGTACACACACCATAGCAGCATAATAAAGTAGAGGGTGTCGGACCTACAGAAGAGTGATACCACCAAACTAAATCAGGACAAGGAGGTGAAGTCAAGTGCACGCAAAAACCTGCATCATGTCTTTCATTCAACAAAAATTGTATCAAAGATCTCTCAGGCAGGCAGTATGGGGTAAACACTGGTTTCTGGGCTTCTGGGAGCTAAATCCTCTGGAAGTGAAGGAGTTAATATCTTGAGAGGTCTCCAGAAGACTTTGGGAAAACAAAAAAAAAAAAAAACAAAGAAGGTATCTGGGTGTGGATAAGCCCTCAGTCAATGAGTAGACCTTGCATGTGATTCCTGAGGTTCCTCCTCCACTTCCTCCAGGGTCATCTTTCCCTCGGGACCTCTTCTTCCCTTTAAATCCAAACGAACCAGCTGTCCCCCAGAA